AGCTGAGTCGAGAAATTTATTTATTATGCATTACATTAGGTGTTAGGGATGTTATAAAATAATATTTATCTAATTTATGTTGTATAAAAATAAAGTGGGAGGCGGAAAATATTATTGTAGTAAAATTAGATTTCTGATTAGCATTTACAACTAGCCTCATATAGATATTCTAACCAAGTTTTTGTTGCCCTTATATAGTGACTAGCGAATGTACCATATATGTCATGCCATACTTTTAATGTTTTTGTCCTGTTTTGTTTCCAAACTATTTTTGCATATACTTTGGTTATTGTAATATGTGTTGCATTACCCATTCCTTGTAAAAGCATAATATGTACATCGGTTATAACATTTCCACTGCGCACACATACATACATATGTATGTACTACACTTGCGACTATGAGTGCAACAGCCTTAGTCAGAAATCCATTGTTCGGAGTTTCGAACAGTCTCATACACACTTGCATACATTCATGCTAGTAGCTGAAGGCGAAAAATAATACGTGCGATAGATTTAGTCATAGTTGAAAAATGTATGTCAAGCGTTGAAAGTATAATTTACATATATTTTTGTCAAAGCCTTCTAAAACCTGTACATAGAATTAAAATACTAATAATATCATATTCAATTAGGAATTCATACTTGTGACGATTAGAGAAATTTTAAAAGCGGTTAAAATTTCCAAAAATTGTATATACATAAATGAAATATGCTTAACAAAGTTGATAAAGATGTAAATATAATTGCACAACTTCTTTCTCAATTGTTTGGGTTGGCAGCAGTTTAATAACAGTTCAAAAGTAATTACGAGCGCAATTTTACAAATATTCAGCGCAAAATCATAGCAAATCCAAGACTTACTTATAAACAGGAACTTACAGTAGAGATTAAGTTTGCTATATGTCCTAAATCAATTTTAGTTTTTCAAATATAATAGTAAAATATATATGAGCATTAAGGTGCCAAAAAAAAAAACAATTTTAATTTTTTTGCCCTAGAAACGTGAAAATTTTGTCAAAAGTGACGAAAAATCGTGTAAAATTTGAGTCTTAATATTATAAAGAAGGATTTTTAGACACGTGATTTTAAGAAGAAATAAAACGCTTATTATTTAATGTTATGACCACGAATTTGGCTTTATTATTAATATAACAGTTTGCCGTTATGTTTTAAAAAGATTTCGGGCATGTGTTCGCCGGCTGGCTCGAATCATCAATTTTCGCACACTTTTTGCAGCAATTGGTGCCGTACGTCAGCAATAAGGCGCTAAATATTCTCTTCCAAGGCATCAATTGTCTCGGACTTTTCTGCTTAGATAAGCGTTTTCATATAACCCTAAATATTACAACTGTGTTAAATCTCACGATTTTGGAGGCCACGCTACAGGCTCACGTCGCGAGATAATACGTCCACCAAAAGTTTCTTTCAATAAATTGATTTCGCTGACTAAATGGTATGTAATGCCGTTGTGTAGGAACGAATGTGGTGCACATCAACATCTTCCAATTCCGACACGAAAAAGTCATTAATCATGGCTCAGCATTATTCGAACCGTACCATTATTTTGGTAATCAATTTGCAAAAATAAAAAATAAAAAATATACAATCAATTTCCGATTTATTCTTTAAAAAATTTGTATTTTCGTGCTATAAATGTGTGATTTTTTATTATTTCAAAATAAAACTAAGAGATTTTGGTATCAAGCTGCATATGTTAAGCTAAGCTCTAAAACCACAGAAACTCAAACTCACTTCGAAACAGAGATAATATAATATCACCTTCAAAAAATAAAAAAGTCATTGAACGTCATGCTGTCATCAGCAATAGACGACATTACCTTGCCTCCAGAATTTAAAAATATGCAAAATATTAAATTTCACACTTCGACAAGCGGTGCAACACACCTCATCACTTCGAGAAATATAAAATTTTTTTGGTGATTTTCTTATAAAATGTTACAACTCACTCTGCAGTGAAATATTTGCTTACCTGCAGCCATTAAATATAATCGTACTGAACAGTTTTACAAACATATGTATGTATATGTATATATACACTTACATAAAGCAGATACTCTATGCACAGGTATATATGTAAAAGGATAACGAAAGTTATTACCCTTGGCGACAGATTCTCGAAGACAAATCTTTACAGGGCCTGCATAAGTATGTGTGTATGGCTAAAATAGTCAGCAGGCATTCGTAACCATATTATATAGTATACATATTTCTATATGCCTTGCTATGTTTATGCATATATACAAATATCCATTTATTATTTCCACTCTCATACATTTGCATACAAAAATATTTTTCGGAATAAATTTTTTCATAAAAATCTCATATACTCTTCGATCTTTCGCTTGTAGATATATACACTTTATACACATACATATACATATGTACTCGTATATGCCACTTCTTACCTTAAGCTATAATGCTTGTTG